TTAAGGGTAATTTCGTCTTTTTACGGAGAAAAAAATGTGTTATATTTTTTCTGGTGTACAGCTGAAATACATGCGACCCATCTAGGTCATTTGAGTGAAGAACCCCGTTGAAGAGGCATGGCATGATAACGTATTGTACAAGAAGTCGGGAATGGAATTTCATGCATTTGACATTGAATTTGAATGACTTCTATCAAAAATAAAGATTTGACATTGTCTTCAGTCGCACGTTCAAGGATTCATCCATACCATATAATATAATACAACCAAGAAGATTCAGCAGGTTGATACTATGACGTCACGTGATGCCTCCTAACTCTCCTTTCCGACAGAATAATCATCGGAGAAAAAACATTTTTTTGTCATCTTCTAAGCTCCTACACTACAGGAACTCGTTCTGCAGTTTTCTTCTTCCTTTCTCCGCCTTTCAACTTGGTCTTCCTCGTGTTGATCTGTTCCTAAAGTGAACACCGTCGAAGATCGTCCTCTCTCGATGTGGAAAGAAAAGTCCGATCTATTCGAAGGGCTCCATGGACTTGTCGGACACTGCGTGTTCTGCGACGTCGAAGGGCTTGGAGGACAATGCGTGTTGTCGACGGAAATCACGCTATGAACATCGTCACTGCTCTTCCTAAACGTGTGTGAGCTCATGTCTTTTTTGTCAAAGATTCTTAACAGAGCCCTGAGTTTCCTCCACCCTGAATCTTGAGCATCGTAGAATCGGTTCAACGAGTGCCTCTGTTCGTAAAAGAAGACGGCCAAGAAGATGAAAAGGGCCAAGAACGAAGCAGCTCCCGCGATTAGAAACAGACCCCAGAAGCTTCTGAGACTTAAACGGTTTGACGAAAGAGAAGTGTTTGGATCGGGGCAATTGCTCTGTTTCTTGAACCATTTGTTCTCGATCTGTCTCATTTCTTCTCCTTCAGTCACGTTTAAGATTGCCCTCGAGATGTCTCCCGTAAGAGGTGAGCCCTTTGGAAACGCCTATGGATTCATGAAACCAGAAGCAGATGGATCAAAGGGAAATCAACTTAACGCAAGCTTGGTGTCAGCGAGAGAGGAAAGGAGGAAAGAACTCACAAAGGCAAAACCAGCAGTCTTGAAAGAAGGTTCGACCATGGTGTACTTGGAGCAATGCTGAGAAAGGAGAAGCTTCATATATGGCACTTCATCAAAAGCTGCTGCTATTCCGCCATTGGAAGTTCCTCTGGTTAAAAGCTCGTCCAGTTCTTCCGCAGAATCGTAAACCCTGAGTTTAGACTCATCAAAGCCGAGATTCTTCAAAATTCCAACCACAAAGGAACCTAACTGGTAGCCGACATAATCTCCGTTCTTGATTAGTTGGTTCACGTTCGTGACTGCTGGTTGGAGCTGTTGAACCGTGAGAAGCGAAGTCAAGCTTGCCGTATAGCTTTGAGTGAGCACTAAAACCACAAAGCACCACACTATCACCACGAACCTGGCCAAATTGCTCACCACTCTCTCCCCTGCCATTGAAATGTTTCTCAGCTGATGCCTAATGGTTTCTTTGTGGAAATATCTCAGATTGAAATAGAAGAAAAGTATGAATTTACGGTGGGCAAAAACGAGGGTGGAGAAGGAGAACCAGAAGCTGGTTCCGATCTGATGATGAGGCGGTCCACGGAAGTCTTCGTTGACTCTGTGTTCAAGAACCCAGACAGCGA